AGGTTTTCATTATTTTAACAAAAAAAAAAGGAAATTACAAAAGATTACCCAACACATAATTTAAGCGTTCAACGACATTTGCATTATTCTCCCAGTTAGTTCATTAGCCTCATGCCTCATGCAATCTCAGTCAAAACCATTCGGATATCAGCTCAAGTAGCCCCCGTGGACACCAATGCCTATACTGCGCACATTCACCATTATGTCCATGTACCTCCGCCGCATAAATATCCATATGTTGGAGTTGGTGTTCACTTTCGAGGGCAGATGTCGTAGGCCTATTAAAAAAAAAAATACAAACTCAAGAACACAAATAAAATGCGCCCCAAATGAGTAATCATACGGGCGAAAAACAATAGAAACGACCACGCGCATGCGGTGATACGAGTGTGAGTTTCCTTATCACCAGCAACTCACACATAGACTCACATGAATAGAATTTTGAAAATGCTGCCGAGTACTCCATTATGCTCATCCAAATTGGAAGCGGACACATCGCAAATTGTCCTCAACAGACAGGCTGTGCCATTCATTTCGTAATGCTCCAGATAACCAACAATGCTGTGATAGAATGCGTTGCGTGTGTACAATTGGGCAAAGCTTCGACGACGGCGACTAGCCAATGGTATCACATCGTTGCCAATGCCCACGAATTCTTCATCTATGTTCCACTGGTAGGTGTGTGATAAAATAAGTTGCAAAAATTTTAAAACATATTCCATTCTTCTTTGTGAACAAAGCTTTTACCCGATCAATCCAATAGTAGTAAGAATCATTTGCTGGAAAACCATAATTCGCTTCAAAATTAAAAGACATGTATACATTGCGATTGGGCAGATCGAGCGGCATTGCCACTGCAGCCAAGTACTGAAAATTTTGGTGAAAGCCAAGGTGTTAATTAACGAAATAAGGCAATCACATTTATGTCAGTTGTTTTGTTTCAAAATAGTCACTTACGCCCTGTGAACCGCCTCTGGGGAATGCCACTATGCTATGTGCTAGCTTTTTGAGACAAATTGTCACCAGGCACATAACAAATAGACCGCTTTGAATTTCTTTTCCACCAGATAAATGCATGTTTTGGGTAACGAATTTTGTGGTATTGTATTGTGGAATGTTAGTTTGCAACTGCAATGCAGAATTCTGTTTAGTGCAATCAGTGCAATTTCTACAGAGCGAAAGCAATTTCAAATATACAGGGTGGCACAATGGGAATGAGCGAGCTACATGTATTGGGATACCTAAATACAAAAACTGGAATAATACATTTTTGTTAATTTACAAAATGGACATGAATTTTTGGTAATTAATAATTTGGACATTTTATGTCGATTAAAAAAGGGACATCAATTTCTGGAAATTTAAAAACTGAACATAAATTTATTTTTTATTTTTTTTTTAAACTGACCATACTTCATAAACTCTTTTTTCGTCATATAGACATAATTTTTGGTCATTAAAAACTGGCCATTTAAAACTGAAAATTCAAAAAGAAGACATACGTTTTTGGTGATCATGAAACCTTTGAAGGATATTTTGGTAATTTCGAAACTGGACATAAATTTTTAGCAATTTGATAACCAAACATAAATTTTTTGCTGCTTAAACACTTAACATACCATTTTTATATTTCATTAGCTTTTTTTAGTCATTAAAATATAGATATACATTTTTGGCCATTTAAAATGTAGACATAAATTTTTAGTCGTTAACCAGTTTTTATTAGGAACTGGAATTTCAAAAACATTACGTAAATTTTTGGTGATCATAAAAACTAGGACATTTTTTTGGTAATTTCTTAATTGAACACACATTTTCTAACTCTAAAAAACTGTCCCCAGTTGTGTTTTATTTAAAAAATAATTTTAAATATTTAATTATTTAAAAATTTAACACCAGTTTTTAGTTGTTAAAAATTGACCTTAATTTTTACCCATTTAAAAAAGATACATAAATTATTGATTAATAAAATTTTAAATCATTTATTTTTGATGATTTATAAATTTTTTTGGTTATTAGAAGTGGACATAAATTTTTGGCAAAAAAATTGAACATTTATTTTTGCTTATTATAGAACTGGCCATTAAAAACTGGCAATTCAAAAACAAGACTTAAACTTTTGGTGATCATAAAAAATAGGAAATTTTTTTGGTAATTTCGTAACTGGACTCACATTTTCTAACTTTAAAAAATCGTCCCCAATTGTGGTTTATTTAAAAAATAATTTTAAATCTCTAATTATTTAAAAATTTAACATCAGCTTTTAGTCATTTAAAAACTGTCCTTAATTTTTAGTAATTCAAAAAGAGACATTAAGTTTAGGGCAATAAAACTTGAAAAACTGCATTTTTGATACTTTATAAATTTTGTTGGTCATTATAAGACAGGAAAAAAATTTTTGGTCATAAGAGTACAGTACATAAATGTTTGGCCTGGCTGGGCATACATGTTGGAATTTTTAAAACTAGACTAAAGTTCTCATCGCCTTAAAACCAGGAAATAATATTTTGGTAATTAAAAAGGTAGACATAAATTGTTGGTCATCTAAAAATTGAGCATACATTTTTGGTATGCCGTAAAGTTTTTAACATAAATTTTTGGTCATTTAAAAAATTATTATATATTTTGAAATAAATTGTAAGGACTGGACATACATACATGCGTTTTTAGATATTTAAAAACTGAACATAAATTTCTGACGAGAAATGTGAGCAAACATGTTTATTTAAGAAATTGGATGCAAGAATAATGCAGAGCTTTTCGTTGCTCATCGAGAAGGCATTGTCAGGGCTTTGAAGCTTTTCGCTGCTGAAAGCTTTTTGGAATTCTCGATTTTTTATCGCTGTAAAGCTTTCTTCGAAGAAAACATAAACAACCTTTTTAAAAAAAAAGTAATTAAATCCGATCGTTATGTATACTTTTACATAGTATAAAGTAGGTATCAAGAATTAGAAAGCTCTGCTGTCCAAGTTAAATATTTTTATTCGAGTCGCTGGGTGGCACCCTTTATGGGTTAGTAGTGTATATCTTAGCTAATCACTGGGCTCATGTCTCCTACTCCACTTCATTTCAACTGCAATTTAGATGCAAACGCAAAGCGCTTTCAGATGTATTTAGAACTCAGTTTTGTCTTAAACTACAAATGTGTGACGAATCGCATATGCCTAAACCCAGCGACCCATAATATCTTAGATTTAAAGAAAATGGAAGCAAAGTAGAAAATCTAACGCAAAGTACAGATGAAGTAACACTTGAAAGCTTTATGTTATTCTTGCGTCGCTTATATGTCATAGAAGAGGGCAAATTTTCGGCATTCAAAACCAATGAAATAATGCATTAGCATTAGTTTAGTTTGGGATAGGCTGAGGTGGCTGACAGTGACCAGACCAGCACGCATATTTTTGTGCCCATTGTGATGCCCTGCGGATCGTGTCTCCCACATAAACCGTCGAGCAGAGTCTGCGAAACCCAGTAGTCGCCATATTCCCATTTAAGGCATTCTGAGCCCACGAATTTTCTACTTATTCTACAGAGTGTGGGACATTCACATATCAGATGCCGCAAGGTTTGTATTTGTATTTGTAAACTTGCTTATTTCTGACCCCTCTTCTTTTCTACGCGCGCCTTCCGATGGCAATATGGCCTGCTAGCAAGCTCATGATTGTAGATAAGTGCCCTCTGCCCAGCTTGACGAGCAGAAAGAAAACAGTCTAATTCAGTTACGATCAACACGTATTCTACGAGAGAAGCTTTTTGAAAATTTCTATAGATTTTATGCGGACGCTAAGAGAGTAAAAGCTCAGAAAGAAACAGTGTAATTCAGTCACGAACAAAACATATCCCGCGAGAGAAGCTCAGAACGAAACTGTCTAATTCATTCACGACTAAAACGTATCCCGCGACGGAAGCTTTTTAAAAATGTCTGTATATTTATACGGACGCGCGGAAAGTGAAAGTTCGCTCTGGCCACAAGTAGTATGATTCTCTTTAGAATTATGTTGAAATAGTAAGGTCGATTTGGGGTATGAGAGATATTTTCTCCAAAGCACTGTGTTTGCTCTCTCACCATCTACATACATATAGCTTGATGATCAGCCAAGCTTGAAACTCAGTTATTTATCAGCTCACTGTGCGAGCAAGCCCTTACCATTGAAGGTGTTTTAAGCAGCGAATTCCTCGAAAACAGAATTGCCTTTCCAAAAGCTGACCTAAGATGGGTGGGAGAAGGAGGCGCCTCCATCTGTGAAGACCAAAAGAGTTACTTTCATCAAATTATTACTGTTACTGAATTCAGAACACGGATGACATTCCGTGAAATGTAGAGCATTCGTGCAGTTAGAGCAGGTCCTGTTTATCTCTTAAAGGCAAACTTTAGGCCTGATGGCATCTTGCAGAACCCATCCTTGGCATAGAATTAACTTGAAGTATGCGTTAGTATTTGTATTTATCAGATATGCATATTAAACATTGCCTATTTGGTTTGTTGGGTATACCAACAAGCATCGCACAATTTAAATGAGAGATTTGTTTGTTCGCACACACAAACACATCAGATTTGAAAACTTAACTGTGCAGCAGAACTATGAAGTATACAAGGAACTGTAGTCAATATCGGACGACGTCATCAACGCAGTGCTAATTATACAAACATGCCAGTCGTGTTCTAGGCAACTTTTAATTTTCATTAGCTCACCAATGCAACAACAAGAACAACAACAACTGCAAACAAATAGAAGCGACAAGCTCCAGATTCTAACATGGGTCCACCAGCTTGAAGCGCTGAAAACTAGGTCAACAAGTTATTTAGCGTGGTCATATTGGTCGCTTTGGTTTGGCTTAGAAATAGCGCCAAGCAAGCAGTGACCGAGGCAGTGGTTGTGGCAGCTTTTTATTGAAATTTTCGAGGTTATTACCGTTTTGACTGCTACAAAGTTGTACTTTCCGTTTTCAGTAGCGCACAGAATTTAATAACGAATAGAGGTTTCGCACTGTAACTTCTACCTCGAAATCGACAGCGCGAAATGTATTTTCGTATCTATTTACTCTTTCTTGCATTATTCGCCGCAACGCAACCGCAGCACTGCCAATTAAATGCAATCGCGAAGCGGCAAAAACGCTGGTTTCCAGCGCTAATTTTTCCGCCAACCAGTCCAACGCGAATACAGGTAAAAGCGGCAGAGCAGAAAAATTAAAATTTTCATTTTATGTTTATAAAAAATAATGAACTACATTTTACCTAGTTGATTGTGGGCATTGGCATACCGCTGGAGGATTTACTCTACGAAGCAATGACCACCGGTTATGTGCTCAAGGCCGAATATTTTTTAGCCGATTCGGTGGAGAAGCTTTTCACCATCAGCCGCATGCCGTTTACGGCGCGTCAACTGCAGGCAAGAAAGTTGACCAAATTTGAGCGTTTCTTAGCGCGTGCAGATGAATGGAAGCGTTATGCCGCTTGGGAGCGCCACCTGACCGAGCATCGTAAAGTGCTGTCCAGCTATCGTTGGTCCATTTATAAAGCGCTCGAAGGTTTAGCGGAGCGGTATGTGGAATGATAAGCTTGCAGGTAAACTAATTATTTAAAAAGAATTATTGTGTTTGTAGCATTGCACCCGCGGGACGCGCATGTGTGTTGAAGAGCATTTGTGAGGCGGCGGAGACGCCCTTTCACTACCGCAATGGGCTGTTTGGCGAACTGCTGCACATACTATTGACGTGAGTTGTTGTAAGGAGACAAGGATGGAATCCACTTAGTTCTTATGTAATTTTTTGTTTACATAATTGTAGGCCCTCTTCTTCGATGGATGAGTTATCCGAGCATGCGGATAACGAGTATTTTTATGCTGAGTCAATGGGGCGCTCTGGTGCAGACTGCAGTTTGGTTTTCAGGGTTTGTAAAAAGTCGCTTTTGGAACATTTTTCAAATGTGCAAAATTTTCAGGATACAATATTAAAACAATTTGGTTAGTTTACAAAAAAGAAAAAAAAAATAAAAGAAAATATAGTTTTTCGGAAGATAATAGTTTACGGAACCAATTTTGTGGCATCTCCGTCATGTCAGTACATCATATTTTTTGTCAACTTAGGTTATATTGCAGGACCTGTCATCATATAGATTCTGACGAAAACTTTTGCCCCAAAGGGCCGGTTATGATATCCTATTGGGATTATGTAGTTGACCGAGCTTATGGATACAGCATTAATTTGTTTCATTTTTAAAGCATTGGCGATCAGAATTTAGCGCCCGTTATAAAGACAGTAGAGAAAGTGGTAATGAAAATAAGGTAGCCTGAGTCTCCCCAATCCCAGAGAATGGCAAAGAAAGTGCTCGAAGCTTTCGAGTTACTCTTTTGCTCGGCAGGTGCAAAGCAGTCGGTCCCATTCGGATACGTACACATAGTATGCCGAGCAGTATCGAGCGAAGCAAAGCTGAGGTATGCAGAGCGGAGCTTTTCATATGGCAGCTGAAAAATCAAATAGAAACTTCAAAATTAAAAAAAAGGCTTTGCTTTCAGCTCCAAATCGCTACTGAAAAAGCATGCTATATGAACACTTTCATAAAGCTAAAGCAATTTGAAAGCTTCCCTCCGATCGGAAGGGCTTCGCTCAGCTGTGCACAGCTTCCTGTGTGTTCGCAACTTTAGGCAACCATCTTGAATTGTGGGCATTCCAGGTTTATGAGTTTCTTTGTCGAATAGGGACCAGATTTGACGTGCCACCTAACATATTGGCAGAAATAATGGGAGGTACTCATATATATGGCATGACCGTTTTAGGGTGTTTCTCATTTAGTCCGCGCTCAATCGACAAGGCCGCCAAAGAGCATAGAGCATTTTGTCAAAGGTTGCTCAGAACTGCAGTCAAGGCCGAACCGTACAGCATGGGCTATGATTTCACCACCTGGGATATGGAGAGAGTACTCTAAACGCCATTGTTAATGAATCTAATGAAAAAGTTTGTCTCGACTAACTGCCGTTTTCACAGAACACTGGGCCTGGGGCACACATGCTGAAAGACTAGGACTGGAACACTTTAATTCTTGTCGTAGCTGTAATTTACCGCGTACAAAAGAAATGGCGGAGTATCGCCCATCATTGAGTAGGACTAGAATTAGGTTTCTAGCAAACTTGATCTCAAAGTTATGCGCCAGAAGAAATTAAGGGATTTACCCGTTATAATCAAAAACTATACAAACCTACATATATCCGGAAACTGTAACTTTTAAACAAATTTACACCTATCAAAGCTTAAACGAAAATTTTTCTTAGCCCTAGCCATATGCATGGCAAATGCAAAGGTGTTCATAATTATCAACTGGCACATTTTCTCACAACCAAAAATTTCACCCACATTTCTAACCACACAATTGTAATAAAAAACACATTCATAAAAATACACACATGCATACAAATATTTATTTGCATACATATGTATGCGTCCACAAATGAAATGCAAACGACATTCTTGTGTCTCGATGTGTTTTATAGTTATATGCTTGTAGTTTTTGATTTGATTGCGTAAAATTTATGCAAATTGCAAGTTAATAACTCTTTTTACTCAACTCTCTTGGTGGTCTTATCACCGACTAACCATCAACAAAATAAATATACCGCAACGAATGCCACTCGACTAGGTAGTTTTTGTTTTGCTTGCAGCAGTGCAACGTTCGCTCATTTAGCGGGAAGACGAGCAGCGGGAAGAAATCATCAGCCGGCAGTTAAGTTAACATACATAGATAGAAAGAGACTTAAGGTGGGTAAAGGAGGCGAGTGCTTTTCATTAATTATACACTTGAGGCATATTTTGGTTAATAGCTGTGAGTAAATAATGTGTCGCGGTGCGTTGCACCAAGTCGCGAAGAGATGAGCTGAGTGTTGAGCCGCCGAATGTCGGGTGTAAAGCGACGTCTGCGCTATAATTAATTTTAATAATGCCGTGTATTATTCAAATGCTTTTATGAGATTTCCTTTTGATCAAAGAATGTAACTACAAAATGTTTAATAAAAGTGCTGTGAATAAAAGATAGGTAACGCAAAAGAATGCAGTGTTGGGGAAAAACATAGAACTGTATTATCACAACTCGAACAGAATAAAAGTTGGAGCTCGACTCAATTAAACTTTATACTTTTCTATATAGAATGCGTATAACATATAAAAAAAGCATTAACATATCTATTTTGAATACGCCTAACTTCTAAGAAATGCTTGAAAGTACTAAAATGGCCTCCTATACTCGAAAAATCTTATTTTAGCTTGGCCTATTTATTTCGAACATCGATAAAACTGTGCCCTCTTATACCTAGGTATGTATGCCTCCCTTTGGCTGATGAAGATGAATGATTAACAGAAGCTATCAGATACAGGTCGAAGATCACTTCGAGAGCAGGGCGGCGCTAAAGGCACAAGAGGTCACTTCAAAGTTAATGTGGTTACCTTAAGCTGTTAATGTTAATCGCAATCAGGAATCGGGATTAACAAATCAGGAAAGTGGAATTATATAGAGATAATAAAATCGCATATATTCTTGCCAGGAAAAGGGCGCCACAGGTATTCTGAGCCCCAGGGATTTCATCGGTCTGCCACAGAGCTCCGATAGGCCAAGCTGTAATATCTAAATACCATTCAGTCAGGGAATCCCACGTAGTTTTTTAACGATACGTGGATCAAAGAAGACCGGTTACCAAATAGAGGTCTGATTTACATAGTATATCATCCTTGCCCTCGACAAAGGGGTGATTTAATACATGGGTGTGCTACTATTCTGCAGTTCGACTTCTTACACCATTTGGAGAATATATGTACATATGTATTCTGAAAATAATATAAGGGGATGGCCCAGTTAATTGTTTCTATTGGAATTGGGATTAACTTCTCAAATAGCGACATCAAGGAACTATTTTTGGGTAACTGGCAGGAGCTCAATTCCAGTGAGGTTTTGATGAACATAACTACAAAGATGTGGGTAATAGGGTATTGAATTTCTAATAAACTGTTCCACATTGTAAAAAAACGGTCTACAACAGCTAGTTTCAGGCATATAAAATTTCGTTTTCGTATAAAAACTCTCGTCTTGTTCAAATCTAATTTCGACGGTGTGCGGTCAGTACCGGGTTAATAGAATCAAGGCCTCGGAGTCTGACAGCGGACAATGAAAGGGAGGAAAAAAATATTTTATGGAATTTGGGACATCTGAAGTACAAGTTGCCATCGCTCTAACATTGGATTGAGCTTACAATGGCCATATGGATTCCAGGGGTATTTCTGAGCGAGGACGATGCGTATTCCCAAATACTTTCCTACTTGGACCATCATGGGGTTCAACACTACACCTTTTGAAGCTTAAAGCTAGGTGAAGTTTCAGCAGTAAACAACAAAGTAGCAGATGCAACTCTTTGAGCGGGAATAGTTTTGTTGCTAGTTATGAAGAATTTCCACATTCACTCCTCCCTGATTGAGTTCGAGCAGTACTAAAATGATTTTGGTCCACCATTGAAGTGGTAACACCTCTGTGAGGCGTTTCTCGTAACTCCATAGCTCCGAAATTCTGTCGAAATTGATCTGCACCGTAGTTTCGCTATTAACTATTTAGAAGCTGGTTTATAACTGATTACTTTATTCTATGTTTCTAATATTTTTCGCAAGAGTGTGAATTATTATTTATGCGTTAAAGCAAAGAAATTAAGAAAGTGTAATACATAAGTGCAGACAAAGCTTGAAGAATATGGTAGACTAAACGAATCAACAAAATATTCGCTTCAAACCCGAAAAGCCCATGGGGGTGTTATGCACAGCAATGAAGGACTGAGCAGCGGCTAAGCGCGACTAATGTGAGATTATTCGTTTTAGGCTTTGGAGAGTGAAAGAACAGAATGGAATACAAGTAGCCGATTGTGGCTTAGACGCAGTGAGGGACGTTTGATGTAGAGGCGCGACAAGTGCAGGCAGTTCGTGCCATCGCTGACACATAAATTTATGCATACATACATGCAAACATAGGTACATCACACAATGCATACACACATAAATATGTACTTATATACATTAGGGCGGGTCATTTTGTATGAGAGATTTTTTCGACTATGCGCGTTCAGCAAAGATGGATTCTAGCTGCAATTCTTTGCAAATTTGCAGAAAAAATTATGGTTCTAAAATAAATTTGGAGTTTGCCAAATTGCGAAAATAGATTTCTTAGCATTTGGCTGCAGTGTCGTAAAGAAGTGCTAAAATCTTGTAGAAAAGCATGCTGTAAGGTGTTTTTTGTTATGAGAATTCCATTTCTGCATTTATATTTTTTCTCTTAAAACTTCCACCTGAAGGCGCTACAGTGAAAAATTTCACATTTTCTTTGAAACCAATTTTCGAAATTTGGCAAACTCCAAATTGATTGAAGGCCCATGGTTTCTTCGGTAAATTTTTTTTTTTGATTTACACACAGAAACCTCCTATGCTTTACGCGCATACTCACAAAAAATTGACCCGCCCTAATATATGTACATACATATTTCTGCATATAAACATACACATCCCCACTGGGTTGGAGTTAAAAAGGTCGTTAATGTTTTTCTTTACAAACTAATTGGCTTGACAACGCGCAACAGAAATATGTGAAAAATTAAGGAAAAACACAAAAACAAATAAATAACATTAAAAAATTAGGCAACCAACAAATATTCATGAGCGTGTTTTTTTGTTTTCTTGTCGTAAGAAATGCTCCCGAAAGTAAACAGCAGGTCGAGTGGTCAACGGCCAAATGGCGAGCGTCGTCTTGAAGAAAAATTTCCCAAGCGTGTGGCGCATATGTTGTAATGTTGTATGTGTTGCAAGACGTAAAAGAAGCAAAAGACATTTCTTTATTTTAACAAATTTTTTCCTACAACTTTTTTTTATTTTGTTTTGAAAATTTCAACCGCGCTTTTAATTTGTGTG